CCTTTTATTTTGAACCCTTCTTAAGAATTTCAGGGAATGCTACTGAACCACTGGGCTCATCTTCTTTGGTGTCAATGCTTGGCAATGACTTTCTTTATAACCACAGGCTTTGTACATGTACCTAATTCACTGTTTCTAGATCGCTTAAAGAAATATGAATATATCCTTTTTGATTTGCAGGAATGCCTGGAAGTACTCAGACTCTAGTCACAGAAATGACAACAACCACAACAACAACAACAAAACCCAAGCTACAAGATGCTCAGTCCTTGATAATTTCTGCCAACAGAGTCTACACATTTTGATAAGGTATCACTTGTATGCCAAGCATTTTCTCCACAATATTCCTTCATAATCCCAGTGATCTACAGAATTTTTTCCATTTTGGAAAGTCACAACATGTAACAGATGATCAAAATAAACATTAGACAGTTGGGTAATGAAAAGAACAAATAGGGAATCAGTAAGAGGCAATGGAGTAAAGTCAGTTTTGCCCTCTTCGTTACCCTCTCTTACCTTCCACCCCCTAAAATCTTGTAAGTTAGTGCTTATGTGCCCACACTGCAGATGTACTCAACTCTCCTCCCCAAATTGGTCTTTCTGTCTCATATACCTTGATTGAGTTAGCACACCATGCAATAAGACTTAATACTCTCTGTTAAATGTGATTTACCAAGACTACTTGCAGTGGACACTGTGGGCTGGCTACTCAAAGCTCTGTCTTTATTGTGATGTCCAAGCCTCCCACAAGTGGCTAAGATAAATCCTGATGGGTGGAAAATAATCGTGGTGGTCCCCAGTGACTGCTGTGGACCAATGAGATGTGACATAAAGTGTGCTGGAGAATGTCTGGGAAAAGTATCATCCTAGCCCTTAAAAAGAGACTCAAAGAAGAAATAGCGCCTTTTCTCCCTCTGGACAAGCACTAACATGCAAGGACACAGTGCAGTATGTGGGGACTCTGCAGGGAGCTAGTCAACACAAGACACTGGCTGAGCAGGAACGTGGAAATAACCCGACTCCTTCATGAGCTGAGAAGCTAACCAACTCTCAGGATGGATTCTGTGTCATGACACAACAGGTCTTCTTATTGTTTAAGCCATTTTGAATTGGCTTTTCTTTCATTTGCAGCTCAAAGCAACCTAAATGATACCATATCTCTCTGGGGAAGCAAGATAGTGCTCTGCCTCTCCAACAACCCTGCAACAAAGGAACAGTTGATCCAAAAAAGAAAAGAGACTAAGGTTTATTTCTCAATAAGTATTTTGGGAAAACCAGCTGTGAAAAGATATTTTTAATATCTACTCCTGATGTATGGAGAGTTCTTTGAAATCCTTCCTCACTGCATAAACACTGTAATGAAGCTACAATGAGCCACTAGGAATGGTATGTGTGGGGATATACAAAATACTTGGAGTCATAATATGTAAACATTAGGAAACTACCATGAAATTAGTCTTTATTACTCATCTACTCTTATTTCCTCCTACGATTATAAGAGTGGGATACTTTTCTTGTGCCCTGCTCCATCTGATGAAAACAGAATTATACAATTGGAGGAGAAAGAAAATTGAGGCTCAAAGAGGTAGAAAAATTGGTTCAAGGACCCACGGCTAGCTGAGGATGATGCTTTTCATAAGTAAAAATGCCTTTTGCATGACTTTAAAACATTTGTTGAAAACTCAATGCAAAGTCAAATTGCAAAGACTTGGAAAGTCAAAACTGGATTTCTTAAAAGCTAATTTAATCATGACAATAAAATCTCCCTTTCGAACTCACTGCTTTGAGCTTCTTCTTTCTAATTCTAATATTCACCTACATCCCAATCCACATTCTTCTCAAAACCATTTCTCTCTCCTAGGAAATCCTTGCATACGGCCCATTCTCTGAGCCAGTGGTTTTTAAAACACTGCTCTCACAATAATTACATGGGAAATAAATCAGAAATGCAGATTCCCAGGCAGAGAGCCTGAGTAGACCCACAGAGCCCAGAAATGTCAATGTAAACAAGCACCCCAGGTGATTCTAACCATGCTTTGAGGCACATGACTCCAGACTGTATACTAGATTCCAAGATCCAAACAGAAAACATCTAATTATCATAGTACATTTAAGCCGAAACTATAAAAATATGTGCATGGTTGCCTATAATTTTTCTGTTCCCTCTGAGGTCTGAAACAAATCCAACATCTCTACGATTTGAATGTACCCTGGTAATCATTTGCTTTAGAGGTTTGGAAGGTTTTATCCTTCCCCCTACCCAAGACTCTTTTTCCCCTCTGAATGAATTTTTAGCTGGGATTAAATATAAAATGCCTTAATTCTCCCTCTGTGGCTAAGGGAAATCAATTTTGGAAAATGTTTCAAAAGAGTACTTTAAAAAATATACAATACAAAATGTCTTGCCTTTGAACCAGAATTCTGAGATGCACAAGGCAAACAGTGGGTAATGAGAGAAGTAAACACCAGATTTTCCAGCAGAATCAGCCCTGAAACCAAAACTTAGGAAGGAAGCTGACCATTAAGTAAGTGGCCCAGAGGAACAATAGCTCAGGCGTATCCTAGGGTAAGTCCAAACCTGAGAAAACTGGAATTAGACAAACCTGTTGTCCCAAGTTAACTTTCTCTTACTGCTTGATTTTAAAATAAGGACAGTGCTGTAAATGAGAATATAAAGTTTAAGTGGAATCTTAGAACTCCTCTGGATGCCAAATAATTTTTTCAGACCTAAATAAATACTCTTTACTGGATTCAACACTGCTCATTCATATCCTTCTCCGCGGGGACATTTTAAATATAGAGGCTTGGGAGACCAAGAACACAGCACGCTAAGCATTTGAGTCTGCTATAGTCTATTACTAGCTCTAACCAACTCACATCACAGCATGAGAGGTTGTCTACAGGCAGATTTCTTGATAATTAAATGAACAAGAAATGCCATACAACCACAGAAAATCATTCTCAAGTTTCAAAGATAACACATAATGCTCGAGAATTGCTACGAAGTAAACAACTCCAGCAATAAAACTGCGTTAAATTGGCTAGAAAGCCAAAAAAAAAAAAAAAAAAAAAAAAAAAAAAAAGTGTCAAGGTCACAGCTGTAATTTGCAAACTCCAGTTTACAACTCTTAGGTCAGTAACAAGGATGGACTGCAAGTAAAGGGACTGGAGGGGCAAAGGGTGGAAAAAGAAAGCGAAAGTGAGCCATCCACCACGAGATGAACAAGTTCAACTGTTCAACATCTACCTTAAAGGTTTTGTTTTGATGCTTTTTTTCTTCTTCTTCAAAGAATCCAAACAATCCTAAAGGAAATTTAAAAATAGGAAAAATGCAACACTGGCTCTGCTGGGCCACCATTCACTTTTGGTCTGTCTCAGTTCAATTAAGCTCTCTTTCTAATTGCACAGCTTGAAGAGGCCCATGGTTTTTAGATGGTTCCTCACCTTCTCCAGCTGCTCTTTGCAGGCCTGAAGGCCTCTTTAAGACCCAGTGGCCATGAAGCAGTCATGAGCACCCCTACACATACCAGGCTGGAGGGTACACCTGGAACCTCCTGTGTCTTGGTGTTTGCCCTTCAAGTGTGCAAAGTTTTGCAACTAAGATCTAAACCAGCTTCTCTGCTTAATAAATGCCCAACTCTGGGTTGTGTGGAACTGGTACCAAACTGTCATCTCAGGGCATCTGGAGTTACTTTATAAAGCCCAGTTCCCATTATTTTAAACACGCTTCATCAGGATTCTTTGACATCTTCGGGGCATTCTCCGGTAAACTTGTGTATTACCTGCTATGCTTTCTAAGTATTCCTGAACACGCAGCTCTGATATGGCGAGGCAAGAAAAAAAATTGGTCAATAATGGAGTAACCGTGGCTTTGCCGAATTGCTACCCAATAGTACACAAAACACTCTTGCTTCTTCATGGAAATGAGGAAATGGTGGAAATCTTCATGATATATACCACTCTTTTTCCCAAAGGTAGTATCAAGTGCTTGACAGAAAGATGAAAACTACCATCACAATCTCCCTCAGGAGAATATCAACTTACCCCCAAGAAATACCCTAATAGCATAGCAAAATGTGGATAAGGGCCAAATTTATAACACATCAGTTCAGTAGAATGTAGGGATTAATAATTTAGGTTAACTGGTATGCTCTAATTCTTTTCGTATGCTCCAGTCTGCAATCATGAACATACCATCAAAGTCAATGGCAGGTTAGAACGCACACACAAGTGGTGACAAACACAGCATGGGAAGTCAGCAATGCCATTCGTAACAGGGTCAAGCAACAGTAAATACACAAATATTCAAAGACATTATGAGACTGTAAATACTCCCAGCAGAAAATCAGGCCCCTACTGAATGCTTTGATTATCTCAGAGGACAAGTGAGTATTTGCCAAAAATAATTCCTTTATTCTTTATACTTCTTCAAAGGCTTTAATGCATGTAACTTTAAAAATCAATGGCCTTGTAGAAAAAAGTGAGTCTATTATCCATATTAGATAGATGGGGAAACTAAGGAGTAGAAAGTTCAGTAGTTTGTTCAGGGCTGGTTAAGCAACATGTTAATAATGGAGTCAGCTCTAGAATCCAGGCCTCCTTACTAAAAATCCAAATTCTGTAAACCCACAACATATTTGTGTTTTCCTGATGAGCGTAAGAACATATAATCCCCCAAAACTCTGTGTGGTGACCTGGCATCATGGACAACACACTCTAGTTTGTCCTTGATCATCACAGGGCCAAATCCCCCTGAAAATTGTGCTAGGTGGCTTGGTTGCATGAGCACTTCCCCAGCCTCCTCTGGCATGGGAAGGCCATCTGGCATTTGCTGCTGTTCTCCACTGCAATTAACATTTCACACATTTCTTTCCTAAGCCTCCAGCATACCTGATGCAATAGTGGGAGAGAGAAACAAAAGCAGAACTGAGACCAGCTTCACTGCTAAGGTAAGAACTTTCAGGGATAAGAAAAGGGCTAGTAATTGGTCTTAAACCTACTTTGCCAAGTGGTTCATGAGCAGCTGTAACATCTGCCGATTTTTCTCGGGGAGCCGATGAACAAGGCTGTGGATTTCAGAGACCCGAGACTCCTGGTTCTCTAGTTCTGTGAAGGAAGGAGGGAGGTAATATTTTATCAATGCCACAGCTAAACGACTTTAAGGATGAAAAATCAAGGGAAACCAAAGGATGGCCACTAACAGACCAAGGATTTCTGAAAGATTTACAATCCTGTCTTGTGTGTACTCTGCGTGGCCAGCATGACTAGATCTAGAAGTCCTTTTAATGGTACTTTCTGGAACAGGGTTGCCAAAAAGAACTGTCATCAAAAAATCCAAGCCAAGATGATGATGTGATGAAATGGAGCCAGTCAACTGCAAACCCAGAGCTGCTCCTGAGAATGAACTCCAGAGTAGCTGGCTCCCTTGAGTGAAGACTTCATTTCAAGGAAGTAAGGAACTTTATGCACTTGTAAAGTGATAAACAAATATTACGTGAACAACATTGCAAGGGTTTCAAATATCAAAATAACACCTCAAGCAGCATCAAGGAAATCAAAGGAAATGTCCAGTATCCTCCAATCACGTATGACAACCAGCCTGGCTAGAGAGAAAGTAATGGCAGATAAAATGTTCAAGTCTTTCTGCCAACTTGTAACCTAAATCATGGCTTGTCACATTCTCTTGGTTGAACCTGGGTAAGTGGCCTTGTTTCTCTGGCAAACAGATTGAGGGTACTCATCACACCTATTTATAGGACTGATACGAGGTTTAAGTAGAGAATGGTTGCTATAGGTTTGTAATTTCTCGAGAAAGAAATGCCATAAACACCATCTTCACTCTCAGCTTTCTCTTTCCTGTTTTAAGCGGACAACTATGAGTAGATAAGGACACCAGAACATTAAGTACCTACTAAATTAGGCCAGTCGTAGCTACCAGGGTAAATAAATTCTAAAGCCTAAAAGGAACCCGGGAGAGGCAGAAGTTACTGACATAATAATACTGTGAAGATTCATGCCGGACTTAAATCTGATAGAAAATCTTTCTGCCCCTTTACAAGAGGCCTGACCCACGTAGCCAGAGATTCTAGTTTACTTAGGGTAGCTTGGACCTAATCCCTATGTATTTTAATACCAGTAATATGACGCTAGGGAACCTGGATGATATAGTTGAAGAATGATCAGAAGCTGTAAATGGAAGACATAATGGAAAAGAGGACTGTGAAGTTACATAAATGGTGTCATATTCAGGGAAACATTTCCAATGCTCAATTTAGGTAATGTGCAATGTCTGATTCATTCTGCAAAATGCTACTCAAAGGCTGGAAAAAACCTAAGAAGTTAGAACTCCAATAATCAAAACTAGAAAGGCAAACTTGTTTTTCTCTATCCCTCCAACATCCTCCTCCCCTCCAAAAAAAAAAAAAAAAAAAAGACTTCTGAAGTTTCTCTCCTCTACTGTAAATTTGATGTGGTTGAAAGGCCCTTAGCAATCCCTATTTGGTTTCATTTTTCTTCCATGTTATAATCTCATGAGCATGTTATGTGGCCAGTTTACATGCAGAACATGAAGGATTAGGTAATATTTATTTTGGGATACTGACTCTTCTTCGAAATAGAAAAATCTATTCTCCTCCTCTTAAAACTGAGACAAAAAAAGTCTTACTTGCTGCTTTGATGAAACTTCTTTGAAACTGGTACATCATGAGCGGTCCGGGAAGCATTCTGGAGTAAAAGGAGATAGGCTAGTCAGCTTAATAATAAAAATTTTCATATTCTCTCTAAATAGCAGCCTAGAGACTGACAAACTATATTACATTTCTCAAAGACAAACATCACAAGGAAACAATAACAACTTAATTTAGTTTCCCTATGGCAGGGGTTCTGAGATTTCACCCACAAGTTTTATTCTCTCTCTTTTTTAAAGGAATGGATACAACTATGTTTCACTGTTAACACTAAAATAGTGCTAATGCAAGAGTCTAACACAGACGAAGAGATTTCCTTTTCAGTCAGTGACTCACCTATCAACAACAGTGTTTTAAGATATGTCTGAGAAACAGGCAACTAACTACATATTTGCAAGTGCTTGTGCTCAAACTCTCATCTTCCCAGCGGCTTGTTGCTATAAAAGACTTTTGCAGGTGCTTTGGTGGTGAATTCATTACGGAGTATTGCTCCAGAATGCTAAAGGGCTAGAACCCCTAACATTAGGTATGATATAAGCAAATTTTACATGCTGGGGTATGAGTATGTTTAACTATAAACTTGAGGTTTTTTTCTGATAGTTCAAATAAGAAACTTCTCAGTAGACTATACATTATTCTTGGCTCAGATTCTATTCTCACTGGGTCCCTTAATTCCACTCCCAGTTTTAGCTAACACTTAACATTGTATCTCACTCCTGACTCCAATTACCCCATAGCCAATAAAACCTACGCCAGCAATTCCTTTTCTGTGGCCTCTCTCCTTTGCTTTTCAGCCAATTGCATCTTCAAAAAACCCACACAAAGACTTATGCAATTTCTGATTACCATTCTCCTCTCTTTTGAAGACTAGGTCCCACCTTTCTGTAAGAAGAACTATGGTATTGCTGTCCTCTAAGTCTGGTATAAGAATTTTGGTTTATTCATGAAACTGAGATGCAGGCAGCTGGTCAATAACCCAACCCTTAATAATGAAAGGAGGTGTAGAGAGGTTGCAGTAATATCATATATAAGTGATACAAGGAAAATAGTCTCTCCAGGGAGATAATATTGTCCAATACATGTGGAAAGAGTCAAAAAAGGAGTTCCATTAAGTTCTCGTTTTTAAGAACCATTGTCAGCAATGTACTCTGTGTAAAGTGTGAAACTATCAAAATACACAGGGTATGCAATCATCTATTCTTAACAGAAATCCATGATTCCTTGTGTTCTTAGCATGATTATTCAGGGACTTCAGGGAAGACCCCATTTTAGGTTCTGTTCAAGGCTAATTATCACTATACCTCTCATATAGAACCAAGTTTCCTAAATCACTAACGGTGTCACGGCACAAAGGCGACCCATCAACTATGGATGATTTACAATTGGTTTGACCAGCTGAGCTAAATGCACCCACACAGAAGCTGTTTCCACATCTCAAACACCCACCCGACAGCTCTCCGGAGTCTGAAAATAAAACTGCTTTCTTCCTGATTGCATGATAACTAGCTGGCACTCTGCCTTGCAAATGGAAAGTCCCTACCTTAGGTAGGTCTTCAGAGCACTAGTGATGGTCTTTATCTCCCATTCAGCACAGATATCTGTTTCCGTCTCAGAAGCAGTCTTGGGGTCTACAATGAAGAAAAGACAATGCATAAAGCAGAGCATAAAATGGAACTAATAAATAAGCACACATAAAGGCATCCAATCTTGCTAGTAATAGAGAAATGCAAAGTAAAACAAAAACGATAAGTATTATTTTTTATCTATGAAATTAGGAAAATGTTTAAAAATCCCAATATCTATTTGCTGGTAAGAATGAGTGAAACTATCCTCTCCTATCCTGCTGGCAGCAGGAGAGATAAATGCAACTGTTTTGAGAAGCAATTTGGCAATATGTATCGAAGACTTAAAAATGTTTACATCCTTCCAACCAGTAATCCCATTTCCCCCAATCTGTCCTCAGAAAATAAGATAAGGCATGAGAAAAGTTACAGACCCCAGAAATGTTCAGCATACACTCTTCTTTATAACAGCAGAAAAAAACAAAAAAAGGAGACAACCTAAATGTCCAGTGATAGAATGGGTAAGTGAATTACAGTGTGTCTACCTGATGAAATATTACCTTGCCAATTTCTATGACAACGATAACTGCAAAGCAACATGGAAAATGCCTGTATTATATAATGTCAAATAAAAAAATCAAGATACGTTTGTGAGAAACTTTTTCTATAAACTTTTTATATGAATAAGGCTGAAAGGAAATACTCTAAATTAGTGGTTGGGTCAAAGTGGTGGACTGTGGTTTTTATATTTTCTAAACTATGATTTTATTCCATTACTTTCATATTTCTTAAGCTCAAACGTGCAATGGGAACCACCATAACTATATCTGCTCCTGATAATTTCTTTTGTCTCTTCTTGTATTGACTTTGAAACAAGTCAGTATATTTTAAACAAGCATGTATGATAAAAGAACTAGAAGAGGTGATTCCTGTAGTCTTCCCGAGTAGCACACAAGGAGGTGACAATAAGAGGCAGAGACTGGGGAGTGTAATGGCTTCACAGATCCCCATCCTGTCCCTGGTGAGGCAGGCCAGGTCACACATGTACTGGTGGGAGGGTCGAAGAGTCTTTCAGTGCATAGGAGGGAGAGTTCAACTCTCTTAAACTGATTAAAGACTAGTTCTTTGCCCGCCAGCTCTCGGTCCATTTTTTTCCTGCAAAGCACCTCATTTTGAGTAGGAGAACAACCCTTTTCTTACTTTTTCCAGGGGTGAAGAATGAGCTTCAGGAAAAACTGGCCAAAAGCATAATCTCTCTCTAGACTCCACGACTGGATGAGAGATTGCCCAGGACGTAAGGCTGCCCAATCAGAGTAACTTTCCCAACTTTTCCAGGAGTCAGGAACAGATATTTGCTGTTTGCTGGGCTTGCATTGGGAGGTTATGTAACTACCAGGTGCCACCACACAGAGCCTGAAAGTCTGACAAATCCAGAGATGAGATAAGCAGAAATAGTGGATCCTGAACCTTGTATTTGCCTCTCCTTCTTATCATGCAAGCCAGTAAATTCCTTTTTCCCCTTAAGCCAGGTGAGGTCGGGTTTCTGTCTTTTTACAATGCAAAGAGATCTAAATGATGCACCAGGAAAAGGGAGGCAGCCACCAGACTGCATCTTTCTGAACAGTCTCCAAGGATAATTCTGGGGCATCAATGAAGAAAGCAGGTCCAACAGCCTTTCAGGGCCAACAGCCTTTCAGCTAGAAAAGGAGAATGAGTCACAGGTAGGCACAAGACATTTTCTATTTACTGGGAAAGAAACCACCTTCATCCAAAGAGAAAGAGGCCAAATACTCATGAATGGCTTCAGGATTTAGCCTATAATCAACAGGTAGGGGCAAAAATCCAACTGGTACCTACTGCTCTCTGCGTGTTCCCCTGACACATATTGGGATATGGGAGAGGAAAGAGCCCCAGCTCATGAAACGTGTGGCTCCCAAAGGCACAGTACCTGACCTGTATGATGGTTACAGGTGACCCTAAGCAATAAAACGAAGTCTTTCTTGTCACATGAAACAAACAAGGAAGAAGTTAAAGAGCATAATTTTAATCCTGGGGCCACAGAACAGTAAATTCCATAGAGTTCTAACACAGCAAATTTCTGAAAAGCTCACAAAATGTGATTTTCCTGGTATCCAAAATGCCTGCCACTTTAATTTGTGTCTTTCTTTGTCCTCTTGCACTCCCCGGGTGGCTTTTTCCTGCGAAAGAGTACTTATCAAAAACCTTCACTTTGCATGACCTCTTTCCCTCCCCATCCCAAGACACATGGAGAGCTGCCATCCTGCATGGCTCCTGGATGTGAGACAAATGTTACTGTACATTTTTCTAAGGAAGAAACCAACTTCTACCCAAGAAGAGTGAACCTAAAACTGAACAGGCAGCAGTTGGCAAGTCTGGGAGTTGTGAACTGTTCCATGAACCACATTTAGCAAACTAATGATTAGCTTCCACTTATTCGGGCTCTGTAACCATAGGAATATTGCGTAACATTAGAGAGGAGAGTCAAATTACAGCCCGGCTAAAGGGCTTTTTATAGCACTGATGAGGCAAGGCTCATAACTTGAGCATGCCCATTTTAATTCATTTAAAATCCAAACTAAGTTGAAAGTAGCCTCCCAAACTACACCATTTTCAGAAAGTGCTGCCAACTTCCACACCTCCCTCCTGATGCTCCCCTCACTTACAGAAGCTTCCTGATGGCATCTGAATATGCTGCAGAGACATCACTTACACTCTTCTTTAGAACTCAGTACATTTCTCTCCATCATGTCACTTGACCACTGGTGCTTAGTAAAACAGATCTAAAGTAGACGAGCAGTTCAAGGTACAAAAGGCATCATGTGGGGAAAGCAGAATGAATGTTATTTCCTCCTGAACGTACTATCACAGGAATTCAGAAAATTTTAGAAGATACAGACTGGAAGCAGTGGTTATAACAGGAGAACACCTTAGAAAAGTCACACTGGATCAGTCCCAAGAGCCATTTAATCTATCACTGTGCTGCAGACAAAGTGAAGGACATTTTGGAGGAGATTATTAGGAAAGTTACCTACATACTCTTAAATTTCCTAATAAGACATCATAGTGTATGCAAATTAGTGTTTTTCTCTTTTTAAGTGAGAACATAATATATGCACGTTAAAAAGAATTCAAAGAAAAAAAAACCAGACATACATTAAAAGGGAAAGTCAACTACTAATGCCAGCTTTTTATGTGCGTATCCTATCTCTAACAGTCCCTTCTGTTCTGAGATCCAAAAGCTCTTACTGGCTCAAACCTCAGTCTTAGAGCCTGCCTGAAGCATCCCAACAGGAAAAGGTTATGGTGGCCAGAGCAGAGGAGGAGGTGAGCTTCCATCTGTGTGTCTCTTCTCTGAGGACTCAGGATTGTGATTAGTTGCCAGATCACTAGCTCCCAGAATGATCAAACCCCTTTCCCAGCAGTCTATCATCTTCCAGTCCTGCTGTCCTTTGTCTGCTCCCTTTTACAGGTAGGCAAAATTGAAAGTTTGTTCTTCTCATGGTTCCCCTACTCCAGTAGGCTACAGTATTCAAAGTCTGGGCTGTTTCCACTTAATCCTATGTAAGCCTTTAGGTCTTAGAAATCATCATAAAGAATTTTGATTTCTTCAGAAAGAAGACATTGATTGCTTTTATTTATACCACTCTGTGAAAAGGTATGGGAAATACGGGGCATAGAAAAAAGAAATGCAGACATGCAAGGTCCCAGAATAAGGAAGAATAGAGTTCATGGCTGGTCAAAGGTAAGTAGGTGAAGCACGCTACTATAATTCTGTGCTTTACAGCACTGCCCTACAAACCTTCGTTGTGTTCACTGTTTTACTAAGTTTGCTTTAAATATGGTTTAAAAAGGGGGGAAAAAGAGAAAAGGTGACAAGATGAGGAAACAATGATGCTGAGTTTGCAGTCCTTTACCATCATAGTAAAAACACACAAAAAAGGAACACAAATTTGTAACAGTGCAGAAAATTAGACTCTCAGTCAATATTCTCCTGCCGCCAGAATACCCACTAGGCAAAGCTCAGATGAAGGCCTGGGGAAAACCCAGTTGGGGAAACAATGTGATAGGTAGTGGCTCTCTGCCCACCAAAAACATAGCCTAAGCCACCAGGGAGTGTGGGGGAAAGACGGTGATGCACCCCCACCTCCAACCCCACTCCAGTACACACACTATTGAGAGGTACGCTCTGGAGCATCCAGGGCTGTCATGAGATTATAATCCAGGCAATGAAATTAGACTGTGGAGCAGAATTGGAGGGGTGTCCTTTTATATCAAGGCAAGTGAATTCAGAAGAAGAAGAATCCTAGAAGACACATGAGAGAGATGAGGGAAGAACCACAGCATGCTTCAGATTATCCAGGAATAAACTCTGCTTCTCCCAAGACCATATCAAATAGCAAAACCAGGAGAAATCAATGCAGGCTTATAGGTCCACTTAATGAAAGGTTCAAGAATACCAGAAGTTGGCTCATTTCATGTACAACAACCCTCCAATCATCATGTAAGGGAATGATTCTAACAGGATTAAGGAAAATAGCAGAACAAGGAGAATCTATCCACAATGAGTTTAAAAGCAAAAGTTTGATTAAACAGAAGATATAAAATCCTATAAAATACTTGCTGGCAAAAAATACAGAGACCAAAGCGCTCTGAAAAATCATTCAGAAAGCACCTTCACTGTTATATAAATAAAATACAAAAAAATATGGATGGCAGAAACTAAGATAACAAAATAAAACATGAAACAGACTGAAATAATAAAGGTTATAGCTGAAAGGTAGAAATAAAAGGAGCTAAATAAGATAATAAAGACACTGGAAAATCCAATTACAAAAAGTTAAAATTTGCATTATAAACAGCAAAATAAAAACCACAGTCAACTCAACAATTTTAAATGAGTAATACTGAGATGGGGCACAAGTTTGAGAATTTTTGCTAGAATGTAAAGAATCAGGAGAAAAATTAAACATTAAAAATGTGAAAACTGTTGGTGTGTTTAAAAGGTTGAGAATTGGAGTGAAAAAAAAAAACAGTAAAAAGATTGG